TATGAGAACTTAAAGGAAAAATACCACATTATCACCGTATTACAACTAAAATTTTAAATGCCTCACAACTACTTTGATTTTATTAAAAAATAAAAATGCTTTTACTATTAATTTTGCAGACAAAAAAATATCACTTTTTACATTTTTAAAAAGGTTGGAATAATATGACTTTAACAGCAGGGTATACGTTGAAACCATGTTAAGCAGTCCATGTCTACACACCGTTAAACATCAGTATTTGGATATCTGACTCAAGGATCCTTTCATACCTTGGAAAGCTGTTCTGGCTGCTCTTCCATAAATCTCTGGTAAATCTCCAAACAAAAGGAGGACAGTTTTCCCTCTCCAGATAAGACGTGATGCCTGCGGGCAGGAAGGGGCGTCCCTGAAGGTAGGAGAACGGTGAAGGCCTCAGCTCCAGACTCATCCAGCTCCTGCAGCACAACAAACAGGTGTGTAAGCTCTGATCTCATGGAGCAGCTGACGTGGTTCATGAAGGCATCACCTGGCACATGTGTAAAATAAAATGTGCTATCAGTGGGAGCATGTGTTAGCTACTATAAATCCACATTTTAGTCAAGAACCGTAAAAGTGAGTTAAAACATATCCAGTTTTGCACATGTTTAAATATGAGACCACCTTCAATAGTATATCAGCTGCAGAAACGTCCACTTCAACAGACTCGTCCTCTGGACCGAGGTGGTCTCTCCCAACCAGTAAACCAGCTTCTATGGCTGCTCCGACAGCGATGAGCTCGTCTGGAGGAAAAGAGTTCAGAAGCTCCACGTCAGGAAACAGGTCCTGGATCAGGTGCTGGAGGCGAGGGATCCTGGCTGAGCCGCCGCAGAGGACCACCTGAAACACAAACGTCAGAGCATTCACACACGTCCTGCCAGCCTCATCACCCTGGACTGGAGATAAAAATTAAATCACATAAAAAAAACTCTCAATATAATGTTGAAGAACAAAACAAACGGCTCAGACTGGAGAAGTGGTGGGCAGCGCTAATAGYGCTGTGTATTGGCAAGAATTTGGCGATACGATACATATCATGACAGAGGGGTCACCATACGATATATCCCGATATATTGTGATACTGTAAACAAGGCGATATATTGCTATTTTTTTTGTCCAAAAATTCTATTAAATAAAAACCTCTTACGGGAAAAAAAAATGAAAAACCAAAATTCATTGTCTCAGAAAATTCTAATAT